CCTCCTGCCGGGCCCTGCCTATGCCTTTTGGCTTTAATGATAATATAAAAGGCTACGGTAACCTAACCATAATCGAGAACCCTTTAAATCATAGAAGTAATCATCCTTTTTTCAATCTTAGAATATCTAAAGACAGAAAAAATCGAGGGAATAATAATAAAAAAAGAAAACATCATATACACAGACAATCTGTACTTGAAGAAATCAAAAATTTCATTAACGCTTCCCCGACATATTACGAACTCTATAGATTCATCAAAAATAAAAATAAACATTATATTTCCACACTAATTAATATATCAACATTTAGTCCTGAATCTATAGATATTCCTTCTAATTTAAAATATGCATTGTATAGTATTCTCTGTCATTACCATTTCAGCAAAGTACCCGACAAGAAAACTATTACTACATATATGAATATTAAATTTCCTTATTATAATAGCATTTTAGATAATACTAAAATCAACAGAATAGTCAATAACACATCTATCATAAACCTTATTAAAACATACAGCTCTAAACCTTATCAACCTATCAGACTTATATATGAATACACAAAATATGCTTCTTGTAATATATACAATTATAACAAATTTCTTAATAATCTTCACAACCTCAACATAAACGATGTCCCACGTGTTTGTAAAAACTACCAACAATACATTGACCCTACATATAGACATGTTGTCACTGGAGATATAAACATATTTGAAACTGAACCTATATATGATGTTTTGAATAAAGGTACAAAAATAAGATATCCACATAGATATTCTACAGAACAAATCAAAAGTTTATGGCTTGATTTATTTAATACAATTTGCAAAAAATACCAAATAAAATATTCCTTAGACGATGTAATTTCGACTACCATAAAAAATGAATTATATAGACACTTTCTTAGACACCATAGTAGATTAATTTATAACCTTGACAATAATAGTTATAGCCTTCCTATTTCAAACATCAAACACTATCAAAAGTTCTTCATATTTTGCCCTTTGGATAAAGCTAGCTCTAATTATGGCATTATTTGCAAAAAACTTTATCTTGAAATATTAATGTCAGAAATGGGATTGAATAACAAGTCAAGTACTTCTCCTATCTATGATTATCTTGGAACACTAGACACTGGAGCCACCATTACTAAACACTTACAATTTTCTAAAATCCATAATCTCAAAATTAACGAAGTCTGTACCATTCCAAATATTTACTGCATTCCCAAATTACATAAAAATCCACTTAAATTTAGATTTATTACTGGTGCTTCGAACAGCAGCATCAAACCGTTATCAGAAGAACTAATGCATATTTTCAACTTTATCCGAAACCATTTTAAAAACTATACTAAAATTGTAAGCATTAATAAAAACTGTTTTGATACCTATTGGTCTATAAATGATATTAATATTTCCCACAAATTTAACCACATTAATGCGAACAACCTTAAACTTTTTTCAGCCGATTTCACTAACATGTTTACAAACATTCCTCATAAGACCATTATCAGTAATCTCAAAGAGATTCTTAAAATATGTTTCAATAATAGTAACAGTAAATATGTTGTTTGTAACAATAACAAAGTTAGTTACTGTAACCTCTATAATGAAAAAACAAAACAAAGGGTTTACAAAGTTGAAGATATTTTGTACCTTGTTCAATATCTATTAGAAAATAGCTAATGCAAAATTGCAAATCACATATTTATACAAAAAGTAGGAGTTCCACAAGGGGTAATGCCAGCCCTATTCTTGCAGATTTGACATTATCTTACTTTGAATATAAATTTGCCATTAATCATCATAAAAATGATATCTTGTTCAAACCTTTTAGATATATGGATGATTTATTGATTATACATAATTCAGAAGAAAAAAGGATAAATAAATGGTTGCTTGACACTTACAATAATATATTAGAGTTAAAAAATACGCACCAAAGCGAATTGGAATGTGACTTTCTCGATTTAAATATAAGAATTGTAAATAACAAAATTATTACGCAACATTATAACAGAACAGTTTACTTTGCGTTTAAAGTTAATAGATTTACGCATGCATCTTCACATATAAGTGTTAAGGTTAAAACGTCCATTATATACAGTGAAATTCTTAGGATTTATATTAGGTCGTTCCGAAAGTAATGTCACATTTTTCAAATAAACGCCATATTTCGTGTAACCAAGATTTTCAAGAGCTCTTGGGATCGGTCGATGCAGCATTTCGTCCTCTTTCTAATGGTTGTAATTTCATTGCATAATATTCAACGAGCACTCAAAAAATTATCAAAAGCTGCGATACATGCTTTTTGTCATGGTCAAGTTCGGCTATTTTTCTATATTTTTGTACTGATTCCTCGAAGATGTACAAATAACAGATAAATAGAGCAAACCCTATAGGCCACAAACAATTTTTTTCTTTTCCTTAGCTTGCTTCTTAGAGTTTGTAGAATCAATTTTTCAGCGCTATCAAATTCCATATTTGGTCAACTCAAACCTCACAGAACAACAACCGGCAAGCAACTCGGGTGTCATTCGACGCAGCTTTTTCTCCTCTTTTTACCAGTTGTTTTTGGTTTCCGATTCATAAAGTCTGCCGGGAAAGAATCATCATAATACAGGTTTTCCAGGGCGCCCCAGGCTGTACCCGAAATTTCCGGAGGTTGCTAATCTGAAGCGATAAATGCTCATATACTTTGTAAAATTAGTGCTAAACCATAATCCACCTTTGTAAGTTTCGGAATCCGAAAGTTTATTGGTGTTCGATGCATATGTGTTGGAGGCAAGCCTGCAAAAATTCGGTGACTTCATTGAAAAATCTCTAAAAAAATTATGACGAGATATGGAAAGCAGAAAAATATGGTGCCGCTTCCTATAAGGTTTGCTCTATCCATCCATTACTTGGACTCCTTCCGGGAGTTATTACAAAAGGTTAGAAAAATTGTGAAACTTGACTTGTCCAAAAAGCATGGGTTGGAGGTTCTAGTAATTTGGCAAAACCTCATTGAGTATTCTGCAGTGAAGTTATAGCCATTAAAAAGAGGATGAAATGATGCATCGAATGCTATCATAACCTCCTAGAAATTTTGCTTCCACGAAATGTAGCGTTTACTTGAAAAAAGCGACATTACTTTCGGAACGACCTAATAGAACATGCACAAAATTTGAAAATTTTCTGCATAGACTATTAATGCTTTTTAAACAACTTAAGGATTTAGATTATACACAAAATATAATCATCAATGCTTTTATAAAATGCTTCACATTTAATAAATGTATATCATACAAATATATAGAAGTGGTTTTCACTTATTGTATTCCTGTATAGGGGTAGAGGCGAAACAGGCTTAATAGTAATCCTTTATTTTTTATTCATAAAGAATTTTTGGTGCAGTGGATAGTGGCTTGGACTGCAGAGTTGAACGGCGTGGGTTCGATTCCTCTGTGATGCCACCCGTTTTGCATTTTTGTAAATTTTAGCAGGCAAGTTGCAAAACCTGTCGAATCAAAAAAGTTGATCTTTACAATATGAAGCAATATATTACATTTACTGACACTGAACCACCGTCCAACCTAAAAACACTCGTTTTTAGCCTTTCTCCTCAAATACTTGACTCAATTTTACTTTTTTTGAAAAATTCCGAACTCGTGCTTAACATAGAGAGGAGCAGCTAACCTGTCAAAAATGGCGTCTTTATCAATTTTTTGACGCACAATATGTTAATCAATTGCAATGTTCAAGTCTAAAACGAGTGTTTCTAGGTTAGAAGGTGGTACAGTGCCAATGAATGTAAATATATTGCTTCATGTTGTGAAAATCAACCTTTTTTGTGATGACGACAGGTTTTGCAACTTGCCTGCTAATTTAAAAAAATGCAAAACGGTCGGCATCCCAGAGGAATCCAACCCACGACGTCCACCTTTCCATCATCCATTGCATCAAAAAGTCTTTATAACAATAAAGAATGACGTCATAGCATATATGGAATGCGGTTTAGAGATCACCGTCTGGGGACGGTATACGCGGTATACACCGCTTACACAATTGTCACTGCGATCAAGTATCCTTCCCTTGTAAGTTATCTAGAGGTTGGATGGCATTAGGTGTTCAGTTCATACCGCCCTGAGTTGCTTCTCGAGTTGCCTAGCCAGATGCCAAGGGTCCAGGTACCACCTTAGTTCTCCCCAGATTTCGTATCGTACTCCCCTACCTCCTTTTGATACCTACGGTTACGGTCATTGACACTGAACGTATGGGAATACGTTGAGACCAGAACCATCGCAACATATTGTGAAACCCCAATTTTTCCATCAACTCCGCTCTTGCCACCTATAACATTAAATCTGAGAAAGCTATCGTTTTTACTCAGTCCGACCATAACCTGTTTGACGCGCTCCACTACTTCAGTGTGAATGCGGAAATTCGTCTTCAATATCTACAGCCAAAACTTTGCAGAACTCTGCACTAAATTCCATGGAGTCGTATGCACAGTCCAGCGCGATAAACCACTGTCTGGGCTCCCCTTCGCGCTAAAAAAGCATTTTGGATTCAGGTAAATATCCGTGCACCATGATTCTTTATCTCGTATGCGGCTTTTATGCACTGTAAGGTATTATCTTGATGTCTCTGATAGACGGTGTTTATCAAAAGGCGTATTTTGTCAAAAATCCGATTGAACGTTGACTGGGAAGGAATAGCTAGCCCAAACTCTCTTGCCCATTGTATGAACTTCTGCAAGAATTTTTACTTTTTTTGCTAGTTTCTTATGGAATGATTATACATTCGTTCTGACGCCGGTAGTAACCGCAGCAGTACATGTCAAGATGTTTCCAACGAACTGCTTGTCGTTTTGCGATTTTTAACTGTCCTTCCCATCTTTTCCTTTCAGGCTTGGAACTGTCTGTCACGTAAATAATGATGGGACAAGAAGCCTCTCTTATCAAGCGCATGCTTTTTGCGCTGTTATCAGGGCAAGACATGTTGACTTAAAGCAGTTCAAAAAGCTTTTTCCCTCGAACGAGGAGATATGTATCTGAATATGTGTGTCTCCTTCAGTGGAAGCTGGTCATCTTCTTCATCATCTTCACCATCTGAGCTTGCATCCCTTCCCGGTGGTGAATACAAGGAACCAGTCTGAATATGAAATAAATCGAAATAAAACTTATACGAATAAGCAGTGGTTTTGTTTTGTTCTCAAACCGTCGCCTTAGAAAATATTGGATCTTCTTTTTTGGGCAGCATTGTGTTGAACTGAGACTGTTCTACATTCCCTTGAGCGCTAACAGAAGTTGGCGGTTCCACTGCCTCCTCCGAGGGCTTCTTCATGACTGCCTGAATGCAGGTCAGGACATCTTCCTAGAAAAGCTGAATACCTCTGGTTCGGCCGCCGCCTCTTTGTGAGATGGCGGCACAGTCCAGTAACCCCTCTAACAGCTGAGGTACTTGTTAACTACCTGCCCACCAGATATCATCCTGATCTTTTCCCTCGAAGAAAAAGCCATTTACAAGAGTAAAACTGGCTGCAAAAAGCTGATTGCACTACTCAGATTGGAAAGCAGTTCCGCTGGTATTTCTTGCTCGTCCGATGTTCCATCCTTTCTACGGCACAACCGTCAACCATTCAAAGTTATTTTTGACAACAGAGATGTGCCTAAGTGTAAATGTTTGGTTTTTTGAGTTCATCTGAATACGACTTACACTATTTATGAAGTGAGTAACGCATAGGAACTTCTGTGTGTCTGAAGCTAGCAAAATATAGTTCCAGTGTTTAATGTGTTGAAAACATCCTCAAACTCGCTGAGAAAATAGCGTTGTACTCTTATTTTTGGAAGGGCAGTGGTGAGAGTCTGTTCAACTCTATTACCGCAGATAAAGAGTTGTAATATTTGATCATACTTGCGAAGATTGCGCCTGAAAGAATCTTGGTGAGAAAATTTTATCGGCTTTTACAGGTAATAAACAAGATGTATACTGCTTTCCTTCACAAACCTACATTTGATGAACTTTTACCGAAATTTACACGAGTCCCACAGTTCTAGTTCCTGAATTAGTTGTCCAAAAAGTTGTTGAAACATTTGAAGAAAGCCCGAAAAGAAAAAGCGTTATTGAAATCAGCAAAAATGAACAGTAAAAAGTAAATAAATAAAAAACAAAAAAATAAAATTGAGTAAAAGAAATCAAAAAAATAAAAATGTAAAAATCAAACATCAAAAATACAATGAAATACAAAAATCAAAATGTAATTGAAAAAAGTTGTGCCCTCCAAGTTTCGGACACTCTTCGCCTGAACCACAGGAGTAGAAGGGAATATTTGTTAGAGGATAAAAGAACAGTAAGGAGACAATAGAATAAGCGGCGAATGAGTGATCAATTGAACGATAGAACTGTAGAACTGACAAGGCTATGAGTGAGTGCCTTTTATAGCGCTCACGCGCACTCTGAGGTGCGATCGACTGCGCGAGGCAGATCACTATGAGGAACAACTGATCAGTTACTAACAGAACAACAAATGAATAATAATATAAAAAATAAAATGAAAAATCAAGAACATAAAAATGCAAAAATCAAAACAAAGATTCAAATAAAAAAGCAAAAATGCGAAGCAAGTTCAAAAAAATTTGAAGGAACACTCAGTGTATACAATCGTTCGTTGACAAATTCCTAATGCATTTTCACGCACGTGCTTAGCAGTTTTCAAATATGTTCCCGTTTTATCTCTGTCATTTCGACCTTTGATTAAAGCTTCGAGACATTACAACCAAATCCAATAGCTAAATTTCCGTCATTGCCGCTCAAAGGATGTTGTTGTAGGAGAGAACCGCGGCAGGTTGTATTAGAAAGGCGATTTTCTACTTGCTTCATATTTTCAATTTTATGCTTCTTAGCTCCATTTTTTGTTTTTTCAAACTTTCAAGTGAATAGAATGCATGGCACTTGTCCGAGCATCAAGAAACGTCAAGGTAACAGAATCCGTCGAGCTCATGTGAGTCTCACTCTACTGTACCGTCAGATCTAACGCATAAGTCTGCCTCCAGCATACTTTACACCGAACAACAACGAAGTTTAGGAACCTCAACACTTTCGATTGAAACTATTTTTGTTTCAGATAAAGTTTTTGCTTATATTTTTCCTTCTATTGCGAAGACACTTTTACTAGTGTTAGTAACCAAGAGTGTCCACGTGATTCTACATGATCTCAGCCGCGCAATTTGGCAACGCTCCGATTGCTTGAAGTATACATATTGAAATTCGAAAAGTTAACGCTCTATATTTGTAATCTCTGGCAGGATAATTCGCGTGAAGTATGCTTGGGGCAGTGTTAACAAAGGGTTTTCTTAACATTTCAAGCTAATACCCCTCCCCTCCGCCTAATCAGCGCATAAAGTAAAGGATGATACTACCTAACTTTTCTTTCTTCTGTGAATGAAAATAGTCTCAAGCAATCAATCACTGCTTTTTGATGGCATCACCGAGAATTCGATCAGACGTTTTTGTGATGTTACGTGGACAAGCTGAAGAGTTAGTGCTCAGCCGAACATCTGTGAAAGAAATTCTAGTTTCCCCCTCTACACTAAAATAACTACGCCTTTATTTTTAACTAGCTGGCTTACCCGGCTCCGCCCGGCTCTGTCAATGCTATGATTAAGGTCTTATCCCTATCCCTGTAAAACATTTCATTGTGCCCACTTCTACATGCAACTCCCTATTCCCGCTGTGTTAGTAATTAGCATGCACAGCTACCTCCCTCAACAACTCCCAGCCCCGTAGCTCAAACTTTGCAAAAAAAAGCAATAAAACCGGTAAAAGTAAGGATAATTCTGAAAACTGATGGCGCTATTCGGCTATCCGGCCCCAAAATGTTTTTGTGATGGATCTTGCTCAATGGCGCTATTCGGCTATCCGGCCCCAAAATGTTTTTGTGATGGATCTTGCTCAAAGTCGGTACATGGGGATTATTAGAGCCGCTGATGACGAATATCATAGTCGTTTCGCGCGATAGTGCCATTTTCTGGGTTTACGTTGGGTAAACATAAGAAGCTAAAATCCTTATGGGTTATGGTAGGTATACTGCAGAGGGGCGAAATCTCAGTTTTGGATGAAACTCGGTCTAGAGAGATTCGACCTTTTGACCACGTCTAAAACACTCTCGTTGCGTTTTGAGACCGTTTCGCAGAGTTACGGTAGGTACATGGCAGCGGGTAAGAATCATGAACCTGCCTGAAACCTTGGCAGAAAATTACCTAAAGTGCTGTTTCAAGATTATCGTGCTCACTCCCCACGATAAAGGCAATTCGTGTGGTATAAAAGTTTCCCACGCCGTAATGCTTTCCTTGTAGGACCACTACCGCGCGCGATACACCCTTCGGCGGCTTTTGCCTAAGCAGAAACAGGGGGAGGGAGATTTGCCGCGTGCGTTACGCGTTGGGACAGGTTATCAGGATGACGCTGGAGACCGCGGTGCAAAACGACTGTTTCCCCATCTCTTGAATATCTGGGATCTAAATTGGCTCGAAAGTGAAAAAATGTCCGTTCAAACCTGGAACTCACCATAACTTTACAATAATGCGTTATGCCAGCGAGCAAGCATCATATTCATAAGCAGTATGCTTCTGAACCGTTACAGATAAGGTTTTGAGCAAATCTGGAACTTCGACCCATCTACTGCACACCCACCGTAACCCAAGAAAATCGCTATTTTGCGAAATCAGCGTGATATTCATGTCCAGTGCGCTGTATGACCACCCTAGACGAAGTTTAAAGAAAATATATGTTTCCGACCTCATGCCATATAACCACCGCAACTCTATGAAAAGGTCCCAATATGCAGAGTGAGATGATATTCAAAATTAGCATGTCGAATAAGCCATATGGACCGAACTCCAGCCGAATTCATGATTTTGACTTCCTACCTACACCTATCGTAACCACGGAGAAAGTGTGATATCTGTAATCAGCATGTAAAGGGCCGGGCATACTTCACGCGATTTCAGTCGCGACGCGATTTGGCAATTCGCCAGAAGTGTTCGGATCCAACATTAGCAAACTGCACATGCATAGTATGTATAACTTACGTAAACTGATGAAATGCCCTATATTCTGTACATTTATAATGTGCTTACAATGGGTTATGGACACCTGGAATATTGCCAAATCGCGTCGCGATTGAAATCGCTTGAAGTACGCCCGGCCCTTAAGATAACCCTTATACATGAAGTTTGAGCAAGCTCTACCACAAAAAAATTTTGTGGCCCGGATAGCCGAATAGCGCTAAACTAATATCGAACTCGTAATCAGCATGCTCGATTACCCCCCCCCCCATGCCAAATCCCAGCCCCGTAGCTCAGACCTTGCAAAAAAAATCGATAAAATCGATGAAAGTAATCGATAATCCCGAAAACTAATATTGTATTCGGAATCCCCATGCTCGATTACCCCCCCCCCCTGTGCCAACTCCCAGCACCGTAAGTGAACTCTGCAAAAAATCGATAAAATCGATAATTCTGAAAACTAATAATGTATTCGGAATCTCCATGCTCACTTAGGTAGGTGCCAGAGTAAGCGAATATTTTGTTCAGGTTGGGGTCCCGCGCAGAGTGGACGTCACTCACCATGCTGGCGTCAATCCAAGTGACGTCAATTCTGCCCGGGACCCCAACCTGAACAAAATATTCGCTTACTCTGGCACCTACCCTACCCCCCCCCCTGTGCCAACTCCCAGCCCCGTAAGTGAACTCTGCAAAAAATCGATAAAAATCGATAAAATCAATATCGATCGATGACGAAAAGTAGCCTATGACACCCGCCGGGCCCGAAGTGTATGTGTGCCAAGTTTGGTCCGGATCGGTTCAGAAATGGAATTCTATTCAAACAGACATACAGACAGACAGACATACAGACAAGCAGACATTCAGCTTTATATATAAGATGTTTTTGATGGTATTGATTACATAGGAAGCAAAAACCTAAGACTATGCAGAGAAAACTGGAAAGAAAAAACAGGGACTCAAAAAATAATAAGAAGTGCTCACAATTTTTCAAACAATGCGCCACATGACATGCGGGAAAAAACTCGTCCGGGGTGAGCGAGATTGCGGCGCGCAAGCGGAATCTAGCTGGATTTTCTTGCGAGGCCACCAATTTGGCTGCAAATTGGGCTTATATTAAGGGGCGGGCATACTTCACGCGATTTCAGTCGCGACGCGATTTGGCAGCTTGCCAGAAGTCTTCAGATCCAACATCAGCAAACCGGACATGTATAGTGTGTACAACTTACGTGGATTAATAAAATGCCCTGTCTTCCGTACATTAAAAAACCCCTTACGGTGAGTTATGGGCAGTTGGAATACTGCCAAATCGCGGCGCGACTGAAATCGCGTGAAGTATGCCCGGCCTCTTAGACAGTTTGCTACGTTCATGTGTACTTCTTTCGAAAACGAAGAATCTGCTGACACTAAGTTCATTAAGAGCTTATGTTCAAAATGTTTGTGGACCTATTCTCAGGCTTAGCCGCTTTGCTTGTGTGACAATAAGCAAGTAGCAGCAGAGCGCCGAAACTTGATGCAGTGGAGAGTTCTCCATTGCACGATTACTGGTTTTTGCTATCTTGAACCAAGTACCTGCTAATCTGTTAGGTGTTAAGTTGCAACAATAAATACAAAGCGAACATCCACAGAACCCATCTTGGTGGTTTTCTAGGGAGCGCCTTATCAAAGTCTTCTATCCGGATGAAGGCTGACAACCATATTGCATCAAGATCTTTTATGCATTTTGCATACACAATGCACACGTTTCGAACTTTTCTGGCAAGATCAGAATACAAACTTTAATGTGGTTGCCAGTAGATGATGACGTTTACCAAACATCCATCAGACATGATCCTCATGGTCATTTCTCTCGCAAAAATTGGTCTTAGTGCGTCGTATTAGGTGATGTACTTCGAAGGAGAAACTCACGTTATAAAAATGAGTCGGCAACACACTTTTTAGGCACATGGATCTCGATCATGAAGGTGGTTTCATACAGGGAAAAAAATGAGTGAAATATCCACGAAAAGCGAGGTAAGTATTATAGTAGGCTTGAACGAAGCGACCCGCCAAATGGGGTGCATTATAAGGATGCAAAGACAGGCCTCCTAAGCAAGCTCGGTGAAATCCGGAACAAAAAACGCTTTCAGAAAGCCTAAAATTTGTTTGGAGAGTATCCTGCACCCGCCTACGTTCCGGAACCCGCCCACGCACCGATCCGACCACTTCATAGCAGCCCACATAAAACATTGTTAAAGTAGGTCTCATGGCGACTCGCGCTTCACGTACACTTTCAAAAACAACGGCTTTTTAAAAGCTTGCTTTTTGCATTTTTGCAATATGGACAGCCGTTTTGGACAGCCCGGAAAAGTGGCAGTGGCATTCCCCAATGCCAATCACCTGACCTCCCTTGACCAAATAGAAATTTCACTTCCTCAACACCTGAGGCCCTTATTCGCTGTTTGGTTTGTTCTGGTGAAAGGTGACAGGCTAGCCTCTTACGCTAGCAATGTTTTACTCACACAGGCTTGGCACACGTTTACGTGTATGAGATAAAGATAAAGATAAAAATAAAGATAAAGATAAGTTGCATTTTGGGATTCGAGGAGCGAAACTTAGGTTAGTAAATTTCTGTGCACAGAGTTTTTGTCGGATACTTCCTTTAAAGGCAGCGTCCAGGCAAACTGGACTATGGGGCTCTTATGTGGATAGTAATTTTGGGGCCCTAATTAAGCCACTGCCCAACGGCAGCTCAGGTAGTGCACTAACGGCTGAGATATTTGCCTCGAAAGTGGACCCTTGGATCGTATTTCGCATGGATTCATGGCGCAGCGCGTGGATCCTCCCACAACTGCCTTGAATCCATGCGAATACGACCCCGGGGTCCAGTTTCGAGGCAAATATCTCAGTGGCTAGAGCACTACCTGAGCTGCCGCTTGGGCAGTGGCTTAGTTAGGGCCCAAAATTAGGAACCACGTGACATTTGACTGGACGCTACCTTTAAGCAATGGCAATTGCGTTCTGGGATTTATTTCTCGCTGAGATTACTGTGTCACTTTTGAAAGTAACAGCAAATTTTCTTGCAAAATGGTGCTTAAACTAGAAACGAATTTTATGAAGTTATACGTTTTGTTCGACATAGATAAACACACGCATGCCCAATACAAGAATTAGCAGGTAGGTTACGACCATTTTTTGGCTACAGTGCCTTTCTTAAAGGCAGTGTTCGGGCAAATATGAACTTTAGCGTACAAGGGCTTTCCCCCTAATAAAGTTTCACCCAAGAGACATTGTACCACTTTGCTTTAAAGCCAGGAAGCTTCAGAAATGGCGACCGGGACGCCCCGGCGACCTGCCGTCCCTTCAGTCGATAACTAGGTACGTATGTCACAAAAAATCAAAAAGTACGGTCCCACCACGACTCTGTGTCTTAACCGCGGCGACAAAATAGCCCGTCAAACATTTTCGTGCTTTGCAAGCTGCATTTTTGGAATCAGCGGGAAGACGGGAAGAGCCCGGTAAAAAAAGATAAGCGGAAAAATTTTGTTCAAGGTTTTGCTTAGACGCTGCCTTTAAACTTCGCTAAATTGGTAACGTTTTAAATTATCGTATTGCAAGAACGTGTAAGTTGCTGCACGTCTTTGTTACGAATGAGCTAAGATTTTTGGAACCGTTTTTCATTCCGAAGTCTCCATTCATATCTCTCTTCTCGTCTGCATTTCTGGCCCAAAACCTCGCTTAGTTATCAATTAAAGGTTGATACATAATTTTTGCACCACATTTTTCAAAGTTCCGTCACTTTCTTCAGCTTCAGTGAAATTTTCTTATTTAATGCTTATAAAGAAAGGATTCGTGCTTTTTACATCTGCCTGGAGCAAAATTTTTTTATTGGCATATGGCAGCGATACAAGCTGATTAGGAAAAATACCCAAAAAGTGGAATTTTGGTCGCTAAAATAGCTGGAAAATTCACTGAAGTTGATCTATTTTGGTCTCTGTTTTATGGCCTACTCTTTTTGACTACAAGAAGTTGGCGATAATCGGATGTACTTACGAATAACTATGATTTTGATTTTTCTACAATTTCTTATCAGTTTTATATCAAAAATGAATTTCTATAATGCATAAAATACTGTCTTTGGTGCACATAACGAAGGGCATATTGTGTAAATTGATTAGCTTCTGAAGCATTTTTACAACAAGTTCATCTATATTTGTATGCCTATATATGGGTGTAAGAATTGTGCATACCTGGTAGTGTTCATACGATTAGAAATTGCAGAGTGCATATTATGTGGTTCGTCTTAAGTCTGGCAGCTTTGTTTGGGTACTAAATCGCGGTATTTTTGCTGGGGAACACAAGCAAAAAATGTAGGAAACTTTGAGGAAGTGAAAGCGACAAGGGACAGAATAATTTGAGGTAAAGCATAGAGCTCCTTCTCAGCGAGCATTGTCCTGAAATTCGTTACGGAGAATGATCCCGCTTTTATGTGAAAACGACGAACCAGTTGTTACTTTTTCAGTTTCAATCCCAGAACTATGACGTTTTTGGCAGATTTCTTCATCATTTGCTATTTCGCCATCACTGGTAGCGTAAGCTTAAACTTCTCCGCCATTCGAGTTCACCAAAAACGACTTCTTATGCGCTTACTCTATCAAGCGATAACAAAAAATGACTTGTGGAAATTTATATGTACAAAATGATTTTGAAAAAGTTTGAGCGCTGACACAGTACGCACGCGCAACTTTGGCTTTGTTGATGATGATCAGTGAATGCTAGAGTATTTGCGTCCGTTTCTAAGAAATTCGTAATGAGGAGATGACAATGTAAGAGGGCAATGAGAAGATTGAAGGTGCAAAAGTTCGATTTTGTTTGAGTCGCTTGTATCGCTATCCAAATATAAAATAGCTCTCTGCGGCGGAAGAGCAAACAAAAAATGTGAACGTGAAAAAATTGCAAAAAATCCAGATTTTTGTTTACGATTCGTGTGATCCCGTAAATCTTGTGCTTATTGTAGCTGGATTGAGTTTGGACACAAATTACGGGGAGTGCGCTGTTCAATTTTTTATGACTCTATGAGGTTTTCATCCGCAGCAATGCAGCTTTCAAGAATGCATACAAGTAAGACGTAGTCTGCATAAGTCATGAGTTGAGCACAAAAGCCCGCATTCAAACTTGAAGTGACTGCTACTATTCGTTTTCTTAAAAGAACATTGTATCATAATCAACACCCATTTACTGCTTTAAAATTTGAAAACATATTCAAAAGCAAACTCGCAATCGATATGACCAACATACAATCATTCAACCGCGGTAGAACAGAATGCTACTTTGCGCCCAATTCTGTAATAGTTTACGAGAATTAATTATAAAATGAACACATTTTTGCGCACAATCAGGCAATCTTTCATGGAGTATTGATTCTAATGGCATCTCAATGTGGTCCATAGCTAGATGGTGGTGGCGGGCCTCCACCTCCATAACCCGGCTCTGGGGACCCACCATAGCCAGGAGAGGGAGGCGGCGAAATGGAGCCGTAAGATCCAGATGAAGGCGGCGGTGAGTATGTGCCTTGGGAGTACGTGGTCGTACACATTGTGCAACTGTACCAGGGCACTTTGCGATGATATACATATTTCATTTTCACTATCTTTGGTGGTGGAGGTGGAGGCTGAACGACAACTACTTCAATTTCAGGTTCCGGTTCTGGTGGTGGCGGAGGTGGTGGTGGAGGAGGTGGAGGTGGTGGAGGCATTGGAGGAGGCATCATAGGCATATAAGGCATCATAGGCGGCATCATGTAACCCCAGTGTGGTCGACGTCGACGGTGATGCCGCCAACCCCACCGTCTACGCGGAGGCATCACGTACTCATGGATGATGTTGATCTCCTTGCAAGTTACGCACGTTTTCTGCTCAACCGGTGGTGGGACGTATGGAGGTTGTGTTACTGGAGGTGGCGGCGGTGGTGGTGGTACATACGGAGCTTCCGTGGGTGGTGGTGGCGGTGGTGGTGGCGGTGGTGGTGGCGGTGGTGGTGGTGGAACATAAGGAGCTGCAGTTGGTGGTGGACCATATGAGGATCCTCCACAGCTTTGCGCACCACCACAGTCGCGACGAAGCCTGGAACACATCTAAATTACATTTGAAGCAGAAATTGATTGTGTAGGATATCTTAGTGCTGACGGCATTTGATCTCATGAAGAACGTCAAAAACTTAAAAATTCAAAGTGTTTTGATTTTGTTTGTTTTGCTGCTGCACAAATGTGGAAAACATTTGCAAAATAGTTGTATGTATATGTGTAAATGTATACTATGCAAATATATGTTAAAGAAAATGAACAACTCCAAAGAGTTCTTTCTGTACATGACGCAGCACCCAAATTGAAATCGAGTAGGATGGCTGAGCGATAGATCAAGGTAGTAATGACGCTCAATTCCTGGTCAAGTTTTTTTTCTATTATACAACACTTTCTGAAATCTTAGGAAATAGTAAGTATAATACTACATTCTTTAAGTCTTCAATGATACGGCTTAAACGGAAATTTACTGCGAAGATAACGATATTTCAATTTACGCGATTATCAACAAATGATACCAAATTTCATCAGCAACAAAATTTGGACGATACTGCAAACCGAGAATGTTTCAACAGGGACTTAGACTAACTTCACATTGCTTGAATAACAAGGGAAGTGTACTAAATTGGATTCGCCTTTTGAAATGAGACGCATATTTTTGAGAATCATCTCGAAACGCTAATTCCGAATATGTTGTTGCTAGCTGCTAACAAGGGAATGGTCGGAAGTCAGAAGTCGAAGTGGCCAATCCATCCAAGCTGCATACTGTTAAATGCAGCATAGAACGCTAACTCTGAATCTGTCTTCCTTATCTGCAAACCACTCTTGTGCATGAAATAAGCCGTCAAAGGCTATTATTTTGCTAAGAAGTTGTTCGTGTAAAGTGCAAATTTAGCCGTACAAAGCCATTTTCGGCTCAGTTTGGACTAAAACATGCAACTAGCTTAGTTCATATGACCTGTACCTAGAGGTGAGCTGAAAGTGCAATAATGTGCCTAATTTCGCATTCTTTGTATACGATTTTTTCGCAGTAAAGCTGCTCATAACTTCGCCTACAAAGGCGCACTGCACATATGGAAGACAGATTTGGAATCAGCATTCTATGCTGCATCGAATGTTATGCAGCTTGTATGTATGGGCCACTTCGACTTTTGACCATTCCCCTGTAAGCAACATTTTCAAAAGTTTAGCAATTACTCACAAGAGCAAGCTTATATATCGCTTCAGAATGGCGCTCGGCAGCTAGGAATAGTATATTTAGGATCAGCGTTCCGTTGGTTCCTATTATATGGGTCCCATCTGAACAAGGGAATCGAAGTTGGTATCTTTTCCTTATAAGCAATCGCTAAAGTTTATGGTGATTACACTGCGATTTTTCTAACATTTGTGAATTTGATGTTTAGATCCCATCCTGTTTTGCGCAAAATGCATCGCTTACAGATGTCAATAATTTAGGGCATTTAAATATCATTGTTGAAGCTCAAATGAAAAACACTTTTTTTACAGGCTGAAAAAAAATAGAAATGCGAGTGGCTATGTTGCCAAACACGAGGCTTTTGACATGCTGGAATCATAATAGTTTGCTTTGCATATGAGGATACCTTATTGGAAAAATTTCTTGGTTGAATGGCACGCGATTCTCAAGATTGAATTTTTACCAGTCATTGATTACGTCCAAAAATTAGGAGATAAGAGCCTACTAAAAACTGAAAGCATATCAAGATTAGAAGTCTTTCTTCTAAAACACTCTAGATTATCCATGTTGTTCGTGATCTTATTTTTTTGCACAGATGTACTAAGCACTATAAACTCCCTAGTATTCCGTGAGAATATACACATTGAAAAAGCCTTTCTTTACTTTTGAAACTTCAGTTCTTAAGCTCCAATTCCTTTTTTTTTCAAAAACGTGCTTATGAGAATTTAGGTCTTTGAACGTTTCTTTCTTCTGGTCTCCAAATCTCACCAGAACGACGACGTATGGACGTTCAATCGGGTCGAGTTCTTATTCAATTTTGCACGCAGTTACATAATTTCCCAAAAGCTTGCACCTGATATCTTACAACTATGAAAACCTCATCTTTCTAAGCGAGATTGCTCGCAAACGCCTCGAATTCAAGAAATCCACAGACCATTGTTATTATGTGGTATCTTTCCTCACCGGTAAAATAAATTAATATATAAAACAAGCAGAAAGCTTGGATATACTAGCAATTCAGTTGAGCAGTGAGAATGGTGGCAGATTATCTTGTAACCTGTCTCAAATCATGCAGAACAGGTCACAAATCATATAATGTAACATAAGGAGAAAAAACCGATTTGCTGTTCAAAAGCTCCCACTCATTTTTGAGCTTTAGACTTGATTGGAAGATAGCGGGTGGTTTTTATTTGATCTTTCAGTTTTCATTAAAACGCTTTTTCTATTTCCTGTTCTAAAATCGAAAGATTTTGATTGATCATAGTCTACATTTGTGCGGCGTATCCTGACTAGATTGATTAGAAAATCTTGCAGGTTGGATTTATTTTGCAATGCGTCACGTGGTTTTTCCTGTACAAGGAGCTTGTAACCAATCCATCGATGCTGTCCTTTTTGGAGGAAAATAGCACCACTTGTAATTGTCTCGAGTCCGCGAAACTATGCAAAATTGTTAAAAGTGTTGAGCTAATTGACAAAAGGTCAAAAGTGAATTAAATTGAGCACCGTATATATCAGAAGGACAACTCGCGCTTGCGACCGTTCGGAGGTTTGAACTGCCGAATATTTCGGACTTTGGTTCCTAAATCGCAATGTATTTCGCAACTCAAATATTGCTAACATGGCAGCAGATCGAGACTTTAGAATGTCTAGCGCTCGCTTGTCTACTTCCTCCCAACATTTTCGCACTATATAAAAGAAAATTATGTTGATTTTCACAAAGCTAAAGTCAAAGAGATGGTGCAAAAGAGCCAAGTTTCATTTTTTGATGAGATAGATTTTCAAAGAATTCGTTATGTTTAAAGGCAACTTCCACCCTAAGTTGAGGGTGTTGAGCTTTTGCCAGCATATAATAATAGTACGGCCCCCTATCAATCCAATGCCCAAGTCGCAGCGCAAAATACCGCTTCGGAAGCGAGAAAATCGCTTTGTAGCGAAGATGCACGAGGACCCCTATCCCATGCCCGCCTCCCCCATCCATGCCCGCCCATTTGTGCGCGCCCATCCAATCACCGTTCCGGAAAGCCGGCTTGTGGGCTCTCCGGAACGGGGATTGTCGGGATTTTTGCGCATTCTCGACTTCATATTCGGAATCAGTGACATGAAAAGGCCCTAAAACGACAAAAACGTGGAAGTGGAAAATCTGGGTGGATGGTGCCTTTAATATCAAGTTAAGTAGCTTCCATCTCTCAGAATGTCAAAAACTTTAGGTAGAGGCAAATGTGCATCATTGGACGTTAAAAATGTGGATGAAGCTACGAGATGGAAGCTTTGGAGCACTTTCAACCAAATTCAAGGGTTTTGTGACGCTGTTTTTGTTTAAAAACCAAGCTGTTCATACAACTAATCTTGAGCATCTTATAGAAGCAATTCAAATTTTTTGAAACATAGCAAGAACTATTCAAAGGCACCGTCCAGCTTGAGTTAGGGGCTCGAGTTATTGGCAGAATACGGTAGCAGGACTCCCTCAAGGTCAAGCCAACATCCAAGTCGCGAAGCAAAATGGTGCTTTGGAGGCGAGAAAATGTTCCAAAATAGCGAAGGACACAAGGAGCCTCAGACGGCAACTCCCCACTCCAGTAATCCCCTCCCGTCCGTGCTAGCTCATTCAATCACTTTTCGGAGAACTCGCCTCGTCGCTTCTCCGAAACGTGGATTATCAGGATCGCGATTTCGACTGCATGAATCAGGGACATGGGAAGGCCCGGAACGACAAAAACATGGAAATTGAGGATTTGGGTGAACGGTGCCTTCAAAAAAGAGGTATTAAGCTCTGTGCATATTCAACAAGCAATTCTTCGTCGTTTTAAATCTCCGGTGATAGGACTTGGACATCAATAAATGAAGCCTCAAATCTTGTGGACGTCCATCTGATGCTCATATCTGAACGGTATCGTGAAGCGCATAGCACTGCTTGATTTGAAAGCAATAAAGTTGTAGGGTTGGCTGAGAAGAAATGATTGTGTGTGATAAGAATGCCCAAAAAAAAGTCCAGCTTCCTGCTTAATATAGTGTCTCTGCAGACGCAACAATGTTTGTGTGTCAACAACTGCCATTGCGACTTCCACTTTTCAAATGCTTTCTTTGTTTATTCTTTGTTTTTTTAGGTGAGTTGTTGATGGTAGAGGAAAAGGTTTGTTAGAGGGTAATTTCTGTTATCTGAGTATCCAAATTACCATTTATTCTCAGTATAAACGTGGAAGCCACGTCGCGTCAGTTTCATGGTTTCTTTGTCACTTCATGCCTCCTTCTTCTTGGAAGACTTCTTCAAGCGCTAGTAGGCTTTTACGTTTGACTTATTGCCTTTATCACTGAAACTACACGATTAGATGCAGTTTCTTCTTAGGTGAAAAATGAAGTAGCTGCAGGGTCTTCTAGCGTTCAAAGAATTGCTTCAGAAGAAAAAAGATGCTTGAAGTGACAAAAAGTACTCATGATACTGATGCAGCCTTACATACCTGAGAGTAAGCGATGATATATCTACTTGGAGAACAAAGCTACTCTCTAACTTACTTTTTTTCCCTTTATCAACAACGAATTACCTAAAAAGCAAAGAATAAGCAAAAAAAGAGGCCAGAAAACACTCGCGCGAAAACTCGCAATCGCAATTGTTGATGCGCAAGCGTTGTTGCGTCTGCAAGGACACTATGTTATGCAAAAATCATCAACTTTACAGAGTTTTTCTATCAGTCATAACTCAGAACATATATATAATGTAACAGCTATTTATAACGAAAACTATGACTCAATAATAATAATTTCTAGTTTTGACGGGTGCGCGGTTGACTGTCAAAAGAGCACTGAAATGCACGCAATTGATCAACAATATGAAGAATATGCGCATTTAATAAATGCATAATCATTCTCAATAACATAATCTTCCTCACCTTAAGCTACCCTCTACATCCTGCGACAGGCAGAGAACGGACACCGCAATAAGGAGAATCATTAGTGAATGATGTATAGTGGTCGCCGATGTCGTCTAATGAAAGACGACGAAGGGGACGCTTTGATTCCAGTCGCCGAAGTGTTCGCTAAACATTATAAAAAACGATCTCGTACTGTCATCGACAACTGAAGCTCCACGTTTGGTGAAATAGAGGAGAGTTCTTTTGATTTGCATTGAGGCGGAACTAAATGGTATTGTGGACGCAATCCAGCAGCAATTATAGCGATTATATTGTAAACTTTATGGATTTTTAAATGTTTGCCAACATTTTATGGACAGAAGGTAGGAACTTCTTGACATCTCGCAAATTTTTCGAGTATTTTGTCAAAATGAATGATAGAAAATGACAAAGCTATGCACAACATAACGTTACCTGAATTCGAATACTTACGTCTTACATTTACTAGTTGGGTAGACTTGGAATATGACTGGGTCTTGCGCCTATTCTTAGAAAACTATATATCAGTTCTATACTTTTCCGTGGCATTTTATAATCCAGCAAAGTTAACGTAAAACTTAAAAAGCCTTTCTGTTAAACGCACTTATATGCAAAACGCTCAAACTTGATAAACATTGAAAAACTTGGGTTTCGCGCTTTTTCATAATTTTCGCGATTAGAAAAAAGAGACCAATAAGGCAGAGCAGGTAAAGTTCCGGGTTTCTTAAAAAATGTGGATTCGCTACCTGGATAGAAGTAAGTTTTAGTTATGTAAAAAACCTTTTTACTTTTAGAGAAACACATCATCTTGGTTGATGATTCCATATAAATATTGTACAAGCTATTAATTTTAGTCCATATCTCAAGGAAGTTCAAATTGACTGATGGTTTGTTATTAGTGTATTAACACTCAAGACTTTTTACTTGACTGTATTTGTCGATTGTATGTCAGGATACTGATATGCCCACAACCGGTTAGAGTATACAAAGAAACTAACGAACAAATTTGACCGAACAAACTATAAAAAACAATTCGCCCAAGGCTGATGCTGCGTCGTTGATCATCTTGTGATTTGTGTTCCTTGCAGAAATCTTGTAGCGTTGCTGACATTATCGCCAGACTATTGAAACATTTATGTCACTTAAAAAATTATGGAAGTCGAATTTGTTGAAAACAAATGGTTGCTCGTCTTTACTTTGTTCTTTTTCATGAATTATAGATGATCGAGTATGTGCCAGCTGACGATCGAAGTTCTTACAGTTTAAATGATTCATGTTTTTCAACAGCACAAATTTGGAACTGTTTTGCACGATTCCTTGAGGTTAATTGCGCGTCACTCGTGAAGATATGAAAACTACATATTCTCGTCTCTTCGCTGCTCTAGTGACCTCAAATTATACTGCAGCCTTTTTGAGACGAAAAAAGTGAGCGTGTCAACCCTGGAAGACACGCGTCATGATGAAGCCGATGCTATAAAGCGAGAAAGTAAAGAGAAAGAATGAACCAAACAAATCTACCTAATTTACGTTTTGCTCTCCATTAATATTAGTAGGCATACGATCCAGAAAATTAAAAAAGAAACGGAGTAGACTGACCTCCAAATAAATTCAGCGGGTGAATGCGGGAGCTTCAATGTGCTCTTGTTTTTATTGAAAGGTTCAGAATCAATCGAAGTAAGACTTAGAAAAACAGACAAAAAAGAGTGAATTTAGTTTTGATCGAGGTTCGTTGAGGTCGACATACACGTAGAGGGAATATCTTATTTTTTGTGGACTCATACTTTGAAAGAAATTTTTTTCAATCTCATATATAATTTTGAATGTCTGCTTGTCGTCTGTCTGTATGTGTGTATACATGCACTGAATAGAAATTTTTATTTCTGGACCTGGACCAAACTTGGCACATATATACTTCGGGGCGGGGAGCGTGTCATAGGCTATTTATTGATCGGTATCAAATAATTTTTATCGATTTTTTGCAAAGTTCGAGTCACGGGGCTGGAAATTGGCACGAGGGGGGAGGAGAGGGTAAGTGAGCATGCTGATTAAGAATACAATATTAGCTTTCAAAATTGTCTATCACTTTTATTTGTTTTATTTTAATTTGTTGAAGTTTGAGCTACAGCGCTGGGAGTAGGCACGGAATGATATGGCTTGCCATTACAAAACAAGGCGGGAATATGGAATTGGCATAGAAGTGGGCACAGGGAAAGGATAAGGGGTAGAAATACGAACTTTATCAAAGTGTTCACAGGGTCAAGCGGCGACGGTTAAGCCAGCTTGTCACATACAAGAATACCAAGTAATACCAAACATCGTCATCCTATCCAAGTGTTCGTTCCACAATGGAAACGAGAGAGGTTTTGAATATGAAACGTAATTCATCGATTCAAATTCGTAACACACGAAGTTACGTTTTTTTCCCTTGCAACCGATGCGCAAGTACCTTATAAAAAGATTCTGCGCACAATGATTGATTGCATCACGGATTGTGTAGAGAGGGGCTGTTGTTCAATTTTTGAAACCAGCTTGGTCACAAAAACACATCTAATATTTCACCGCTAGTAGGACTAGAGCTGCCAGGCTCATTTTTTTGTTGAAAGTCTTTTTCTGCATATGCTGTTGACAGTGGATAGTTATAGCACAACTGACCTTGAAACAACACATCTCTTTTCGCCTTCTCATTAGATTAACTCTTTTTGGAGCGGTACTTGAGTTTCTTCGACAAAAAAAACTCTCTATGACTTTGCAAGTTAGGAATCTTGTGAGAAAGTACTAACAGTAAGTCGTCCGGAAAATAGTGCAAGTTTTGCAATGTTCCAGTGACTTGCAGTGGTTTGGTTGACAAGTTATAGCTTTCTAAAATGGAATAAGAAGCACTGTATTTAACGAACTCTATCTATCTATCTATCTATCTATTGCGTTTCATAGCTGCAAATGGCAACTTATTGAAACACAAAACAGTTTTTCAGAGCAATGTCCTTCTAAGGAACTTTAATTCCTTTCGAGAAAGAGCGTCTAGCGAAAACTCCTGGCCCTTGTAAGCCAGTACTACACGAGTAGTTACCCAAACCCAGGAAAAGTTCTATAGTCTGTTAAATGTCAGTGATAATCAGATACGTTTGGACCTCAATATCTCTGCTATCACTTCCGTTATCGTTAGAAGAGAGCCTTACTTTTTATTTTATAGGTTCGCTCAGCATCTTAATAAACTATGTTATTATGTGATCTTTTTGCAGAATGAGTTTAGACAAAATAGTGGACTTCTTCTTTAATTGCTTGAAAACTCTGAGATAAAGAATAGCCGATGTACATTATATCGGAAAAGCATGAATTGCCTTTTCAGCTAGCATGCAAAGTGAAGTCGTCGCAGCGAGGACATCCACAGGAGAACGGTTTATTTGAAAATTCGCTAGCAAAAACGTGCGTTGATCTTTGGAAACCTTATAAAAAAGAAACATTAGATCAACATGTAATGTATCTCAATTGCTCCCAATGAAACAAAAATCGGCTTGACTAGAGCGTTGTTTTAAGTGGACTCGCGCTATTGAAGGTTGACTTTCCCTACATGGTGAGGGAATGTAGTAGGAAGTGCCTGAGCCTTCCATAATCACAGCATGGATTGAATGCGCAATGGAACATTTTTCAGGCTCGATCATCGATAAAATTAGCGATAATCAAGCATCCACAGACCTAGAATTTGCTCACATCTTTTGTTAAGCATTTGAATACCCGATCCGCATAGCATGTTTTCTCTAATCTCTGGTTAGCTCCTGTCAGTTTATGAAGAAATCTGAAAAAAAAGCGTATCTCATCACGGTCAATTCATTAATTAATTACCTTACCATCTAAATGTACAAGCCGCGCTCAGATTACTCCAATCATACCTTCGATACAAAGAGCCATGTACTCTGGTAACCTTCACTTTGAGCGTCATGAAAGAACACAACCTTCACCTGCAGAGACGTACAGAATCATCCGGGGCGAAGCTTCGGATAGATATAACTAATGACATAACCATGTAGGGATGAATGTAAAGGAGGCAAATATAGCAGTGACATCTGAAAAAAGCTAAAAAAAACGAAGGATTGCGTTTTCATGGCCTTTTTTGCCGAAAAGAAGGTTTTTATTCAAAAAATTCAATTAACTAGGACAGAATTTCTCAATTAACCTCTCTCTAGACTGCGATTGGGGGCTGGAAGTTCATGAAAGCCGCTGGAGTTCAAGAAAAACGAAAGCGCTCAACTCTTCCGCAGAGAGTCGCCACATAGATGCTGGTCTATCTTGTAATGGAGTGATTTTCAATATGCGCGACGTTGTCAGTGCTCCTGGCCGTCTCATGAGGATCACAACGATATATAATGTTATAGGGTTTCGTTACGGCCCCGCGGAGATCAATGACCAGAGCCAAATGCCCCGCCGGCTCTCGTCTCCGCTGCTCGTCTGCGTCTCCGCGCGTTGCGCGCTCCCTCGCTACCTCAAAGCGGGGCGCGGGGCATTTGGCTCTGGTGCCCTTTTCTTCGTTGTTCGGAGCCCAATCACAACAATCTATATATCATATTGAAGCTCTTGATCTCTATTTTCACGCTGATAACGTCGCAAGACTTATTTTTATGATTTGAACGAGAAATCTGGAAGAAACGACGTTTTCAAAAACCCCTCGTTTTTTCTTCAATTTATCTCTTTTCACTCGGCTTTTTTGTCTATTCGCTATTTCTTGTTTCTGTCTATGATGTAGACAGCGTCGCCGAGCTTACTTCTTTGCTTATGCCGGTTTTTTTGTGAAAATTACTAAAAAGTGCTATTTTCTTTGCCTTGTTCCCTTTCAGTGCTTTCGCAATGAATTTTCTCCAGCTTGGACGATACTTGCTCAGAATGACGAGCGGAAGAATTCGGACAACGTCGCAGGATACGAAGACGACTATGCGGGGGTGAAAATTTGAAGGACGCATCAAAAATCAGATTGGCGTCGATGTGCAACATATCTTTTCAGACGTGTTTATCATGTTCAATTCAGTTGTTGACAAGTTTTCCTTCTTTTGGTCTCCCGACTACCGCCACAGCTAAACAGCGCTCTTTTATTGAAAACAACTTTGTTCTTGTTGCCACCCAAT